CAACACCAGCAGAAAGAGGTCACCCAGAGAGAGGTCACCCTGTAGCCAGCCATCTCCACATGTCCCCTCTCCCTGTGGTAGAAGCTGATGTCACCTTTGGTGCAAGGACAACAGTTCTGAGGCCTCCACAAAAGGTGAAAGGCAATGCCCTGCCGTGATGGGAGCCATGGTAGGGGCTAACCCACACGGAGCATTCCAGGCACTTCCCATTAATTTTTATTTTTTTGAGACAGTGTCTTTCTGTATTGCCTAGGCCTGGAGTACAGCAGCATGAACATAGCTCACTGCAGCCTTGAACTCCTGGGCTCAGGTGAACCTCCTGCCTTAGCTTCCTAAGTAGCTGGAACTACAAGTGTGCATCACCAAGCCCAGATATGTTAAAAAATGTTTTTTGGAGATGGGATCTCGCTATGTTGCCTGGTTTGGTCTAGAACTCCTGGCCTCAAGTGATCTGCCTGCCTAGCTTACAAGTAGCTAGGATTACAGGCCTGAGACACTATGACTGGTGTGTACACAAATATGAATTTATTAAAGCTTTAGAACAACTCTAAAAGGTAGGAAATGTCATGAACCTCATTTCACAGGGGAGGAAACCAAGGCACTTGCCTATGGCAGTAAGTGGAGGAGCTGGGATTCAAACCACAGCAGGCTGCCTTATAATCAGCTGATTGCACTGAAGAGCTGAACTGGGAGCCAGCAGTTCACCCAGTAACTCACACTGGGGTCCTGTGACTCCAGAAGGGAACCAGACAGACCAGGCTGGAATCCCAGCAAGGGGAGACGGAGCATGCTCTCATAGTGAACACCCACTGTGGTAGAAACTCTCTTTTCTGGACTAAATGGGACAAGATTTGGCTGGCTAATCAACAGTGGGAGTCATAATACAGGATATATTCATCTTTTAAACATTCTATTTTAATTTTAAACATAGAAATGTGCCATCTATTTGCCAATCTTTGGATGTCAGGCTTGGGTGCTTCTTTGAGATTGAGCCCACATGATCTTTCATGTATAAATCACATCCATGTTGCGTTGCCTGTGACTCTAGTTTCAGTTTATTTGAATTGGCATAGGAGCTAAACAGCACTGGCAGCCCAGGCACATGGCTCTCATCTGGAATCCCAGCACTCTGGGAGACCAAGGCAGGAGGACTGTTTGAGACCAGGAGTTCGAGACCAGCCTGGGCAACATACTGAGACCCCACTTCTACCAAAAATAAAAAAATTAGCTGGGTGTGGTGGTGTATACCTGCAGTTTCGGCTACTCAGAAAGCAGAGGCAGGAGGATCGCTAAAGCCCAGGAGATTGAGGTTTCAAGGCTTCATGCTCACCACCATGCTCGGCTAGTTTTTCTATTTTTAGTAGAGATGGGGGTCTTGCTCTTGCTCAGGCTAGTCTCCAACTTCTGACCTCAAGCAATCCACCCTCCTCAGCCTCCCAGACTGCTAGGATTACAAGCCTAAGCCACCATGCCTGGCTTACAATAGATTTTTTTAAGTATGCAGCTCTCCCAGGTGACTAACTTAGGGGATAGGGGAGGAGTCCAAGGCATCTGTCGGCATGTCTGACGTGAGGAATGAGTTGTGCTGGTGATGGAGGGAGGTTAGGACAGGTTGGGCTCTTATGCCACGCACATACTAGGAATTGAATGGCCCTTACCTGCTGGATCTCTGAACAACCCTGGTCAGTTAGGGAAAACCATTATGGGTATGCAAAGGAGAAATGGTAGCTTCCATCCTGACCGAGAGCCTTCTGGAAAGTCTTCATGCCTTCAGCCTATGTCACCTTTCAGCTAAGGGAGTCACAGCTCACAGAACCAGGTAAGCAGAGGGCTGGGGCTGCTCCAGTTCTAAGAGATCTCAGCCCTGGGCCTACCTAGCTGAGTGGCCGGCACACAGTGGCAGTGTCTTAAAGGTCAGATGACTAAATGGCTCTTACCCCTCTCTCGCCTTTATGTCCTGCCAGTTTCACCACCTAAATTAGTGGTTCTCAACCTGTGGGTCGCGGCCCGGTTGTAACAATGAAAATACATCACAACATTAGGAAGGTTGAGAACCACTGACCTGAATGGTTCTGGAATTAGTCGCCTGCTTGCCACTGGCCTTGTTTAGCTCATGGCCTTACTGCCTCCAGCAGGAGCTTCCCCATCATTTCTCCTCTGCCCAACGGGGGATGCTCCAGGGAAAACACAATCGCAGCTTTACCCCCTTGCAAGGCTCCCATGGCCCCAGGATCACACAACTCGACCCTCTGTCTGCCTCTCCAACTGTATCCGCAGCACCCACTGGAGGACTCGCCCCAGGCTCTTGCCAAACTGCTGGCCCCCACCTCGCACCACAACTCACTCCCCTCTGCCCAGGAAGCCCTGCCCAACCCCTCTTCTTGAGGCTGGGTTCAGGCACCACCTCCTCCAGGAAGCCCTCCCCACTCCCGGTGCCCGGGCTGGCTGGATGCCCTGTGCTCTTTGCTGTAACTGCTGCTTGCTTTCTTCTCTGTCTTCAGCTCCCCCCATGGCAGACTGTGAGGCTCATCAAGGGCTGAGACCAAATCGGGTCCACGCACAAGACTGGCGTATGGACCCAGCCCTTGTAGGTGAGGCAGGAACCACGAGCATGTGAGGGATCCTGCGTTTCTTCCTTCCGTCTGCTCAGGGCTCTGCCTTTTTCTGCTCTGCTTTGTTCCCTCCCTGCCTGCCAGGAAGAGTCTGCTTTGGCTTTTTGTGCATTTGTGATGCAGCATTGAGAGGAGATGGGGCTGAGCTGCGGTTGTGATCCAGGTGCTTCCTTCACCATCTTGGAGAAATGCAAGTTAAAACCTGACTTACTGGCTGGGTGCAGTGGCTCACACCTGGAATCCCAGCACACTGGGAGGCT